CCAGCAGATTGTGGTACTTCTTGAGCTCAGACCTGGTTGAAGAAATGTTGGTGGAAGGAAAATTTTCCCCCAGTGAGAGCTGAGCCCAGGGGCTGCTTCTTTTTGCTGGAGAGCATGGCTTGAAGTGTCTCCTCTCTCCCTTTGTTTTACCTCTCTGAACTGTCAAGAGGTGCTGTAACATCCTCGAGGCTTAATGTTCTGTGTACAGTAGGTATTTTTATAGCCTGCTTTCAAATATACTGTGATGAGTGTTTTACTACAATGGGTGTTCAGTAAAAACAATTGTATACAAGTGTAAATAAACTGTTGTGCTGATACTTGAAGAGAAAAAAAAAATGAAGTTGTCTGTTCTGTGTTAGGAAGGTACTAAATCAGTGACTGCATCTGACCCTGGCTGGCAAGAGCAGGTGTAAATTTGTATTTGTATTTGAATGTAGAGTTAAGGTGAATGTAGACTTGGAGTGAGTGATGGGTTCTCCTGGTTCTCACTGCCTTTCTGGGAAGGCACAGTTGAGAAATGCAGATTATTGTCACTTTCTAAAAGTGTATGTCCCCCCCTCCTGACAGAATGGTCACTGACAGGGGAGGGGAAAGCCCTTGTCTGTATTTGTACCCATTTACTTTACTGCCTCTGACTGTTACTGCACTTGCCTGGCTCAGATCCAGTCTCTTGAATGGGATTAAACTGTCTTGTCTTACATTGTTGGCCTTCGTCGTGATGTTTCAGACAAATGTAATCATTTGACGTTTGATCCAAGTAATAAAGATCAAATGCTACAACGTGCACCCCTGTGTGTTCCTTTCCATGTCCCGTTCTGGTGGCTGAAGTGCCAGGTGAGTGTTCCTGCACCTCAGCAGGTTTCCACAATTTCCACAGGCGTAGGAATTGCAGCTGGGTTAAGAGAGCTTATCCATGAGCTTGAGAATTAAATTGATTCACCCCACTGATTGCTTTGCTCTGCGAATAATGGTAATTTAAGTAACAAACTCAATAATGGAGGAAGGAATTGGAAGAACTGATTAAATAAATACAAGCCAAGATTCGCATGCAATGAAGAGAAAGGTAAGACTTTATTAGTTTTACCTGGTCACGGGTATTAAGATCTGATCCATGCCCTCAGAGCTACACTGTTCTTATGTGGTCTTCCAAATGCTGCCTGTCAGTACAAGTTTGCATGCAGAGATTAGGTGGAGGGCATTAAAGTTGCAGAGGTACTTGTCATTCTGAAGGATAAGGACAAAATTAATTACTGCTTTGTGGTTTCGAGTTACATACTCAGATTTTCATGTCTTGTGGATGGCTGTATGCCCCTGGGTAGGTAACCAATGTATCCTCTCTGCTAAGTGGGAGGAGTCTTTTCATTGTTTTTCACTCCACCGTGTATTTCCGTTTGGAGAGGAGGTGATTTTTTTGTTTGTTTTAGAGCTTTCTGGACAAAATGCTTTAATACCTCCATCTTCCTGTAGTATGAGGATGACCCAGACCTGATGGGTGACTGAACTCTTGACTTTTGCTGCCTGGCAGGTGGCCCTGGGGGGCAGCACTTCAGCCAGGAGGGCTGAGGAGCTGTACAGGCTGTGGAGCTTTTGTGTCTGCGCTGTCAGGAGGTACTGGTGGTGCAGGGCAGGGCCTCGGGCAGTGGCTGAACACGAGGGATGGAGTAGCTGGCACAGTTGTGGCAGCAGGAGCTGCTCCTGGTAGGTCAGTCAAATGCCAGCTGGAAGAGTTGCTGTGTGAAGACCGTGATCTCTCTTGAGCAGGCTTGGCACTGGTTACTCCAGAGCAAAGAAGGTAAGTGCAGGGAGCAGTTGTTCCCACAAACAACACTTACTACTACTTGTAATTCATCACAGCTTTTTGCCATCCAACTACCCCCTGCTGCTGGCACCCACATTTGTAAGTTTTTACCTAGAAAAGCATTTCTTCTCAGGAGCAAGTGCCTGGCGCTCACTTTTGAAAGCAGAAATCACTTTCTGGTGAAAAACAGCAAACTAGACATTACTTTGTAGGGTAGGTGAAGGAAAAAAAACCCAAGTTTTCTGCTCTCCCTGGGGCACCTCGCTGCTTGTTCCCCCTTGGACAGGGGTTTGTGTAAGTGTGGTGGTAACCCCGGCTGTTTGGAAATGCCAGCTGTGTGCTGCCCCTTCCAGCCTCAATCTCAGATGGCATCCGAGTCGTGCTGGCATTACTGAAGCTGTTCTTTAGGAGAAGAACAAAGGCAGCACTGTATTCTTGTGAGCCTCTACAAAGTATTACAGCTTTCTCCCGCTCTTTCAGCAGGATTAACAGTCTGAAACTACCCAGAAGCTCCACAGTGCTCCTAAGAGCTCTGGAGCATTGCATAACTCCTGCATGAACTGACACCCAGACACTTTTTTTTCCACCTGCTCAGTGTTGAGAAAATTAAATCATTTGCAATAGTGTTACAAGATACAGAAAGCTCCTGAGAAGCAAGGGACCTTGCCTCACTTTGTATTTTAGGAGCTGATTGCAAAGAGAAGACTTTTAGAAGGAGCTTTACAACAATAACATTAGCTTTTCTTACTCATTAATGGTTAAAAAAAAAATCAATATTCAGAAGTAGGTGTTGCAACAAAGCAGGATCTAGTTTGGTGCCCTTAATAGCAAGTGGGAGGCACAGCTGCTGTGTTACAAACAAGTAAACAAAACTGGATTTTGTGTTTGGCAGTAAAGCAGGATAATTCCTCTTGGGCAGAGCAGGCAAGTAACTCAAGAGCTCCACAGAGTCATTACCTGGCAGTTCTGTCCTGCTGGGATCAGCTGCTCTGATCGTGGTGCCTCTTTCTCTTAATAGGAATTGGCATTTAATGGCAGAACCCCACATTCCCAGGCAGGATGGGGCTGCTCTGGCATGCTTAGGTCTCTGTTGCCTGCTTGGACTGCCTTGGAATAAATGTGTAGCATTTATTCTTCAAAAGCAGCATGGAGCAGTTTCCCACAGCAGCTGGTGTTACACTAGGAATCTCTGCTTTTGCCTGATTCTTCATTGGTTAATTCACATAAAAACCAACATAAATATTTTAGGAAAGCAACCAGGGCTTACAAAGTATTATTTTTTTCCACTGTAATTTAAAGACAACTGGAGTTTAATTGTATATTGTTAAAAATCATAGAGCCATGAATGAAAGTTACATTAAACTTTCTTTTAATTGAAGACAAATAAAAGAACCAAGGGCTCAAACACATTTTAAAAAGACATCTGTTCCCCAGTGTCTTCTCTCGAGCAAAATATACAGCACATATATATATATATATATATATATAACAACTACATTCAAGTACCAAACAGAATTTACATTTTCCCAAACAGAGAAAATAATGCACATGATTCACATACCTTAAACCCAACCATGCATAAAAACACTGCCAATAAATCAGGAGTTGGACATAATTCGTCACACTACTGTGTATTATTCTGAAGTATCGACAACGTCGTTGGAATGCATTAACACTTGGGAGTGTGGGTTTGTAATGTTTAACCCTGCTTTGAAGTCCAGCTGTTCAGAGACCTACTTGTTCAAGATCTGTTCAAATTTAGGGTTAATAAAAGAAAATCCATCAAATGCAGATTGATCCATGGACTCGATTAGGTTTTTGTCGCTGTAGGACAATTTTGGCTTCTCACTCAGAAATTCTCTGTCAAAGTTGTTGTAGTCACTTGCCGATTTCTGTGTTAGAGAGGAAAGATAGTTTGAGACAAACTTTTTAATTTATTCCAGAACAAATTACTTAAATACAAAAGGTTGAGCTCCCTCCCTTCTTCCCCTGCTTTAGAGAAAAAAAAATAATTTCATTTTAGCCTATTTTAACAAAACTGTAAGATTATAACTGAGTGATTGCTTATTAGTAGTTGAAAACAAACAAAAAAAAAACCCAAATAGCACCAGCTTGCTTTGGAGAAGAACCACATGGATTTGTGACAATGCTGCACAATTACCCAAATATTATCTATTGGCAATAACAATGCAGCATTTACTTATATGTAAACCCAGTATTTCTTGCCATTAACCAAAATATTTATATTCCTGAGAGCATTTTACAGTCTGTACTTATCCAGAGGAAAAAAAAGCAGTGTCCTATAGCAGCTGCTTTGTGTCTGGATAAAATATTTGTGTGTGTGTTTCACAAAAATTCACATTCCTAAAGATTACTGAAGACACTGTGAACCTCCAAAGGTTACTGTTTGTAGGATCCTTAGGGTTCCAGAGTTCCCACTTCTATGGCAATGTGAAACCTTGTGTTCTTGAAGAGGCCAGCTCTCCTCCATCGAGTACATAAGTCCAACTTAAAGAGACTGTTACCTCCATATCATTTCACCTGTTCCAGTAACAGGGGCGAGGAACATCGACTTGCATTTTTAGCCAGGTGAGATGGAGCAGCAGCATCCCACAGTGCTACAGACTGTGAGTTACACACGGTCTGTTCTTCAGATGTTTTTTTTCAGGTAACATCAGGCATGTACATTAATTCTAAATTCAGTAGCATAGAGAATGCATCTTTTTGCCCCCTTGGAGACTCTCCAGTTGGTTTGAAGCAGCAGAAATGCAATGCTTGCACAGAACGCCTGCAGGCAGGTGAGCAGCCTCAAGTTACTTGTGCTTCTCCCATGTGGCATTGCAGAAAAGGAAACCACAAGGAACTATGAACATTTCTAACCCAGAGGAGAACAGGGATCGGAACTATCCGTTGGTTTTCCTGAAGATTTTATTCACGAAGAAGCTCCCTGAGAGTGCACAGGAAGGCAAGTCTTAATAGGAGGATTTCTGGGCAGTCAAAGCCATACAGTGCACCTTGTTATAACTGAACCATCCAGGAACAAGGGGGTTACATATATATAACTCTGTCATTTGTAAATGTGAGGAGACGATGGCAGTAGGATACTTTGAGCAAGTCACCCCTTCCCCTGAAGCTGCTGTTTGCTACAGAACAAAGAACAACTCACGTACCACTTTTGGCTTGAAAGGAGGGTCCACCTCCCTCTTCTCTAGTGCTGTCCAGTTGATTGTTTTGAAGAAAGGATGGTCTCTGATATTCCCAGTGACCCCAAGTCGTTTTGCTGGATCCCTTTCAAAGAGCTGCAAGAGAAGACACCTGGTAAAGCCTTTCATCTGCTCAAAAGGTACGTGGCAGGGGAAGAATAACAGATACGCTGCTGAAAGAACTGAGGTTGCTGACAGTAAACAGTTCATTAGTAATTAATCTGACCTGGCTTTCCCTTTGTAAGAGCAATTTGCTTGCTGAGAAATAGCTCCTCTCCAAAGCCTAGATTTGCCCCTCCTTGGACAGAGACAGTACCGGGACCCACACGTTGATCATCAGTCCTACCTTTTCTAATATATCCTTTGATTCCTTGGTAATCCAGCGTGGGTAGTGAGGGGTGTCCACTCGGATTGACTCAAACAGTTCATCCTCATCATCCCCGTGGAAAGGGGACTGGCCAATCAGCATCTCATACAGCAGGACCCCAAATGACCACCAGTCCACAGAGAACGTGTACCGCAAACCTTGCAGGATCTTGTTCCGCAGAGGAAGAAGTACAAGCAGTCAGTAAAAGGAAGCAATATAGCCCAAAAACCAGGAGAGGTATTTTAAGAGAGAATCTTTAATAACTAGGGCATTTAGGGAAAGAAAAGAAATCCATCTCTCTGAGAAACTGTGGACACTGATGCACATGTGCGGTTTTATACTTGGCTGCTGTTTGTGGGAACGTGGCCAGCTCTGTGGACAGGTCTTTGCTCTCATTCAGAAGTTTTCTCCATTAACTTTAAATAACCATATATTTGGAAAACATCTTCTCTAGTGTCTTTACAAGATGAAGGGAGAAGCAAGTAGTGATGAAAAGTAACTTACCACTTTGACATAATTTATAGCTTTAAAACCTAACACCTTAGTTGGGCTACTTTGCAAATAAGATTTAAAAAAAAATACAACACAGGGAATTTAACTCAGTGAGATTCCCCTTAGAAGCTGCTTTTGTTTTAATTCTAGTTGTTTGCAGGGGCACAAGTCTGTTCTCCATCTGCAGTGCACATGGATAGATTCATTCTGTGGGAGCCCTCTGTGTGTGCTGGCTACAAAAACCCAAACTCTTAAAAAACCGAGCATTTTAACTTTTCAAAACCATGTTTTTAAACTTGCAGCTGTAAAATATTTAAGAATTTCAAGTACCTTCTATAAAGAACTCAGGTATAATTTTTTTCTCTGCGCTAATTAGACTTCGACTTTTCTGAACTATTAGTCTACAAAGAGATGATTAATCACAGCAGCCACTTCTAACATGAGTGCATTAAATCCATCCCCCAGCGTGTGGCTGTGCCTTACTGACCTCGGGAGCGATGTAGTCTGGAGTTCCACAGAAAGTGCTTGCTTTGTTCTCGCCAACAACATTTTCTTTACACATTCCAAAATCGGCTATTTTGATGTGGCCTTCTTTATCAAGCATCACGTTGTCCAGTTTTAGGTCTCTGCAAAAAGTGTTTAAAAAGAGTTGTGTTTTAAGTGAGTCATTTTTGTATTCAGATGCACTGATAAACACCTCCCTGCAGCAGAACAGAAGCTTTTCAAGGAAATAATCATCCATCAACACAACCCATACTTTTGTGCATTGGAGGCAGGAGGGACAAGGGAAGAATTTTCTGGTCAGACAAAATAAGAGGCTGAGGTACATATATAGAGTGTGACCTTATAATCCTCTACATTTGCTTTCAGATCTAAAAGCACAGCCAGTGCTTCTGTTGCTTCTGGAAGGCAGTGTGAGTTAATGCCCCAGCAGCTGACACAGCAGTGCTGCACCAGCTCTGGAGCTCAAAAGAAGGATTGTGTTGGATTCTGAGAGCCTTTGGCAGGAGTGTGATTGTTTGAAGCCTGCCCAGCTCTTAACACTACCTGTGACTTGTTCCTGGTTACAGCATCAGCTCATGTGTTGTGGCCACGGCCTGTGAAGTGTCCTATTCATGCCTTTTTTTTTTCAGAATAACACTATTCAATCAAGTAAGAGCTTTTTCCCAGCAGTTTCCAAAAGCTACATTCCCTCCCTTTGACCAGGATGCATTTTTTTGTCCATCTGGCTGCAAATGCACATACCAAGGAGGGCAGGCTGAAGAGAAAACTGTACAGCCCTCTGCTTACCAAGAAAGACTGAAATAGAGCAGATAATTTAACATAAGAACAGGGAAGTCTTTTCTCTTGGGTAGCTGAACTTCCCAGTATCAGCTACTCACTCACATTGCTCAGAGCGTGAGCTGCAGCTCAAAGCAAGAGTTCCTGATCTAACGCAGTGCTCCATAAATCCTTCCATGTTTGGACACCAGCTGCTGCTCACCTGAGCAAATTGAATATATATGAGATGGGAAATACTCACAGTAAACTCAGGGCACTGCACTCACCCAGCTACAGCAAGTCCTAAAACCTTTTGTATGATGTGCGCTTACATGTAACACCTACTTAAAATTGCTCCGAGTCAGGCTCTGGGATTATATTGGTGAAATCTTATGTGAGATGGGAAAAACCAGTACCACTGGTTTTGCTGGTGTCTTGTTGGAAAAGGGTACCATCTCTCTGAAAATATTTCATACTATGAAATTCCCCCCAGGAACAGTCTAATTTAAGGTAGGGAAATTTAACAGCAAGCCTAAAAATGCTTTAAAAAATCTGGGATGGAAGGATTTCATGCTGCTGAAAACAGTTTGATCCTTTGTATAAAAACCTGCAGGAGGCTATGGGAATAGAGCTGGGAATGTTATGTACTTTCCTGGATTATGGCTGTCTTCTCTGAGAGGCAGATGTGCTTTTAAGAATTGTCTTTCTTACCAAGGATTCCTGTAAGGTTCCTCCCCTTTACAAATGCTTTTTAACTAGACTTCAGAAAATTGCTCTGAAGGATGGATGCTCCAACAGATGTTTCCTGTTTCTATAGAGGGAGATGGACAATACCAGATGTTTGGAGCATTGTTCACCTAAGGCCTTTTGTAAGGCTCTGAAGCACAGAGACATCATTCTTTGGACCTGTTTGTTACATAGGTGAGAGATGTCTGCGCAAGTAGTTACCAAACAGTGCTTTCAAGTTGAGGGTGGGGTGAAAGGGCTGAAATCGAGAGGAAAACTACATTAAAATAAACTTCTGATTTCTTGTAGTGTGGATATACACAGTCAGAAGCAGTGGATCAGGGTCTGGCCTCCGATGCTTCAACCTGGTGTGGCAGAAGCATCGATGTTGTGGTTTCACCAGAAGGCAAAACCAGGCAACTTTCACCTCAGTGGTTTGCACAAGGCCAATGAGGACTGATAAGCCTCAAAGACCCTCTCCCTCACCTCCAAACTAAACAGACTCATGATTTGAAGGCAGTGCTTAAAAATAACTGAAACAAAACTGCTTTTGTGTTACACAAATATCATTCCATCACTCTAGTTGCCAAGGAAAAAACCCACACAAATAGAGATTCGTGTCAAGCATGTTAATGGCCTTGGAACTACATCAGATCACTGACAGACAGCTTATACTTGTTACATCAATCAGGAACTCAAAGATGCACAAAGTGCTAGGACAAACACCAGGTCCCACCCTGGAGCTGCCTGGTACTCACCTATAAATAATGCCTTTGCTGTGAAGAAACTGGAGCCCACATAGAATTTCAGCTCCGTAAAACCTGAAAAGACCAAAACATATTTTAATCTTTTCTCAGTTTAAACACAGCCAATGCAGATAGCCAAGATATTGCTGTAAGGATCTCTTCATGGAGTGACAAGCACCGTACAAGCCTTTAAATCCTACTTTATGTAGACAAGATGCTGTAAAGCTGCAGGTTAATCCCTTCACCACACATCGGCAGTGTCCAATACCAAACAGCAGAGGGGACACGACTGCAACTTGCCATAAGGCTTCATTCCACTTCCCACGGGGAACACTGTCCCTTTTCTTCTCTTTAATAATAGTCTTTGTGTGTTTATAGTGATATGCACATGCCTTTTGAAAGACAGCTACTGGGAGCTCAGTCCTCAAGGATTGCTTTAGGAGGGACTGGGCACTAATGCTGAGGTTAGAAGCAGGCATCACCTCTCTGCCTCTGCACCTGCCTGGCTGGAACAGACTGTAAACAGAAAAGTAGCAGGACTTCAGGGGTATTCTCCTCAAAAACAGAGGTGATAATCCAGAGGAGATAAAGGAAAACATGAAAAGAATGCTTCCCCATGCCCCAAGAAGTATTAAAAGCTTTTTTTTTTTTTTTCTAATTGAACAATTATAAAACTATTTCCGCTTCTGTAGAGCAGAATGAATGTTGACCCAAAACTTCACAAATAGGCCCAGGGGATACCAGGAGAGGCTGCCAGATGCAGAGATGTTTGCTGGAATGCAGGTAAGCTGGAGGAGCTTTATCCAGATTTTTGCTGGGGGGAGTGGGAAGGGAGCTCGCCCTTTCCTATACAGCTGGCTGCTATTTATGCCAGACTCCTTGACCTGATCCCATCCAATGTTCCTTAGTACAGTGCCCAGTAACAGGTCATTTTCCTGATGCTTATATAGGTAGGTTCACTACCCTGCACTGTTACTTTTTAGGTCTTGCACGCACCCACTCAATATTACAATTAAATCTCTCATGGCTTTGAGTGAGAGAAGTAGAAACTGACCTCAAACTAAAAATAGTACATAAAGTAACAATAATAAAATATTTTTGCATCTTTTAAAGATCACTGGAGCTGAAAACTTCAGCCATAGGTAACTGACACAACTGCACTTGCTAAACAAAGCACCCATTTTATTAGTATCTTGTGAAAGGTACAGGTGTTCCTGTGCTGTCATGACAACTTATCATAACAATAACCTAAGTGCTGATTATTTTTGCAATTTTTTTCCATCAAAATACTGTCCCAAAGGACACTGAGGCTGTACCTTTTTCTTTTCACTGCTGGCTGATGTTGCAAGCATCCCATAAAGTAAAACATCACACTATGTAAATTAAGAAGGCCTAACTCCACACATCATTAAGTGAACTTCTTCATTGTATTAAACTAGTGCCTAAGAAATACCTTTTCAATCATCAGCCATTGAAATTCCAGGGCAAGTAAGGGGCACAAAACTAGCAGCAGTAAACCCAGAGACTAAAATCCTTCCTGGAGATGGGGAACGGAGGGTTGTGGACTTACGTTGCTCTGTAGAGATCAAAACGCCCCTTGTCTTGTATGTGGAACATCAGGTCTCCCCCATTCAGGAACTCCATAACGAAGAACAGATGATCCTGTTTGCAAATAACCAGGGAATGGAACAATTACTGATGCTGTTCCAACCACAGGTGAAGTAGCAATGTGCCTATGGGGGACCAAGCAGCTTCCTCTGCTGAAGGATTTCTCTGTTTCATGCACACCCTGAGAGCCTGGAAGGCTCCTACAGAGTTGAGTGGCCTGGTCTTGTAAAGATAAATAGCTAATCTTGTATTCTGTGGGTTTCTAAACTTTATAAAAATACACATTTAAACAGACTTACTGACTTTTACCTGTGACAGTCATCTTTTCTCCCCTCATTAGGGGAAAGTTTGGATCAAGGATTTAAATTAAACTGCCTCTTATTCTAGATAGCATAGATATTTTTCTGATCTAATTCTGTCCTCATCAACATATGTTTGGTCCTACTCATATTTACTTTCCACAAGGCCCATGAACTATTGCACAGAGCACAAGAAAAGGAAACTTAATTCCTGCACCACTAAGTTACTTTCATTTGACTGCAGATAACAGCATCCATTAGAAGGGTCGACCTGTTGTGTTACTGTCACTACTGGGCTTTTCCTTACCTTTGTCTGAAACGTGCAGTAAAGATGTGTGAGAAATGGATTTTCCCATGCAAGTGCGAGGACCCGCTTTTCCACCATGGTACATTCCACGTCATCATCGATTAGCACCACGTCTTTTTTCAGGGCTTTGATAGCAAAGAATTCATTCTTCCCTTTCAGCTCAGCAAGCAGAACCTACAAAGAATAAAGGGTGATGTTACAGCATGGCTAGGAAAGACTTCCTACTGATGGTATCAGTAAGGGAAAGTCAAAGGTGTTCATAGGAGGTGCAGTGACAATTAAAAAAATACATTTAAATGGGAAAGATAAGGGAGATTTGGGAGTGTGAAGCTGCTGGACATAGAGATGAGGAGATGCAGGCACAGTGGTTTTTCTGTCAATGTCTTGTGAGTGTATAAACAACAGCCATGTAAAGCCTGTTCCTTCCCTGGAGCTGTAGTTTCACAGAGAGCAGTGGACAGAGGCCGTGGAGGTCACACTGCTCTCCCAAATATCCCCCTGCCCCTGCACTGGGGCATTATGAGGCTGTTTCTGTACAGAGGGCATGAACCTAAAATATGCACTGTGGTGCATAAAGGGCGATTCCTCTGCCTGGATACTAAACAGCCCACAAAGTGCTGTGCATTATGAATCACACTTGAGTTCAGACGTGATCCAGGAGATGAATTTCTAGTGTCTCTGACAAAGATGTCTATTTGCAATTCTGTAGGAAGATTATCAACCCAAGGAGCTGTAAGACCTTTCTGGTTAATGGAAATAGCCCGTCACTTTGCAGAGATCAAGCGAGGCAGACACCTTAAGCTCTCCAAGTTTGTTACATACCTTTCCAAAGCTTCCTTTCCCCAGTACTTTGTGGAAGACAAAGCTGTCTATGCTGAATTTTCTCCTTGCAGCTCGCGCCGCTGTCTTGGCTGTGCTCCCCTCCCAGAGCTTATCGTACTCGCTGTTATCTGCTGATCAAAACAGGGAGGTCCATGCTCAGTGTGTGCAGAAACACTGCATGACTCAGATCCCTGGATAGGAATTAGGTGCTGGCATAGCATTTCAGTGCATCTGCTGTTGGAATACTGGTGAACCTAAACATAAGGGTCACCTCCTGTGGTTTATAGCAAAAGTTTAAATTACTCGAGCGTACTTGATTTGGATTTGAATGGAACCTGTGACTGTTTCTGATGCTGGGTTTAAGCAATACCTGGGTATTATAAAAATCAAGACCCTTAACTTTTTCCTGTGACTAAAATATAGGACATAATTTGGAGAAAAAGATACAAGGACTGCTTGTAAACAAACTATTTATCTATCTTCCCTTAGCAGAACAGGACAGTCTCTCAGCCTGTCCACATAAAGAGATCTGATTTATGCCCAATGCTGGCTAAGTAGCACGATCATACAGTTTAATCCTGATTATATCCAAAAATTAATAACTTTTTTCCTGCCCTCTGCTGCACAGACTCGCTGGGTCACTAACAAGACACTGATGTTAATCATGAGATGATCCCATGTGTGCCCTGTAACTGCCCAGCATTTGGGACAACCCAGGCAGGAATCACAGGGGCTGCACCCGGACGTAGCACTTGCAAGAGGTTTTGGGGTTTTTATCCCTCTATTCTGGCAAAACAAAACAAGTATGCTAAGTGACATAAAAATATTTTTTTATTACTGGGCATTTGAACAGAATTAATTCAATGTATGGATGAATATATAAAGTCCTGTACACACCAAACCCACACATTATCTCTTACTGAGTCTGGTCATTTCCATCTGCTAAAACATTACTTCTGCTGTTGCATTTAATTTTGCATAAATTATCATAAGTTAGCAGTAATGGAAATAAGCTTATACAATGCTTGAAGCCTTTAGCAATAGTGAGAAAACAAACACCAAACAAACTTTACTCTGAACTCACAGAGATGGGATTCCAGGCATTTGTCAAATGTTATGTAAGAATTTTGTGCAGCCAGGAGATGGTAAAAAGAAATACCTGCCTTTTTTTTTTTAACAGTGCTTATTAAAAAAGATTGTCTAACACAAGGCAAGAATAAATAACTACTTAAATTCTCTGGTAAGTAAATGGCCGTATGGAAACATTTTCCCTTTTCTTACCTGTTGTATCTCCTCCTGGAGCTTTATGTTTCTTATCAAAATCTTGATAAATACCAACACTTTCTACAGACCCAGAATCAGACCTTCGTGTAGATTTCTGAGGAGAAGGAACACTTGAAATTATATCAGCACTACTACTTTAGAAATACAGTAATATCTGTAAATGTAACGTGATGGCAGTATAAACTTTTCTTTTTAATTATTAACTCCCAGTACACATCTTTTCTCAAGAAGTCTGGTTCACAGACTATTTAGCCACTTTCTTTACAGCTTCAGATCAGCCAATTGCTTTATTTCCTTCACTGCAAGAAAATAAAGTCAATGAAATTCCTGGACAGTCTATGTTGTATTGTTCATTGCAAAATTATTAAAGGTACAGTGGTTTGGATTCACAGTGGGAACAAATTAAACTGTGGGAAAATGTCCCCTTGGATGTATGTTCATTTGAATGAGGAGATGGGTGTCATACTGGACAAGCTTAAGTCATATCTGTGTATGACATCCATCTTTAGCACATAGAAACAAATTTTATGTGTGAAAGATCCCTAAGATCAAATTTTAGTAAGGAAAAGATTAAGTTTTTCTGGGTCATGAAAGAGCTGGTGCAACAGCTCTCCCTGTTTTCAAAGTAAATATCCTGTGAAAGCTTAGGAACACACAGCTCAGAGAGCTGAGAGCCAACAGAACACACTCTGTTGGCTTTTGTGATATATTTTTCTGTTTTATTTCAGGGCTTGTGTCTGAATCTTTATTTGCAAGTCAGAAGTCAGCCACAAAAGACAGTCATGCTGCAGCAGGAGATGAACAAGCTATGGGGCCAGTGTTAATTCCAAAGCAGTTTTCTCTGTATGTGTGTGTGTGTATATATACATACATACATACATATATATATATATATATGATTAATAAAAATTGAGAATATCAGGTATATTCCTCTTTATTCATTTAATTTTATCATTCAGGTGGAATTTTAAAGTTGAAACATGTAAAAAAAGACTTCACAATTATGATGCCACTGTTTAATCAATTAAACAGAAAGGGTGAGAATAACCTTGGCACCACAGGAAACCACGAACCTTTTAAAAAATTCTTTAAGTGGGATCCTCCTCCCCCCATTCCCATTTTAGGCTATTGGTATCTTTGTTAGTCTCTATATCTATCAAATTAAAAAAGAGAAAGCTGTTTGCATTTCCTCCATTCCAAACTCAGTTCCCCATAAAAGTGATACAGAAAAGACGATGTGAAAGCCCCAAGATGCTCTGAAAACAAGTAATTACCTGAAATGGCAATAAAGCATACCTGGCTAACTTGATTTAAAGCTTCAGCTAGCAACTTCTGGTTTATTCCACATAGGTTTGCCACCTTCTTCTGGCATTTATGATGCACATTCATGCCACATTCTGAAAGAAATGTAAGGATGGTTATACAAGCATCAGGAAAATAGTGTCTGACATTGGAACAAAAAGGCTGTTTCTCTGTGCAGTTCAGAAACCTTGTTGTAAGACCAGGTTGGACACAGGCCTGTCATTGTTAACAAAATTGCAGTTTTTATCTTTAACTCAGTGAAGGCTACAAAAATTGTTCACAAGGAAAAAAACTCCTATCACCATTATTTTATTCTCAAAATCTGTTACAATAAGGCTCATCCTGCCTTCCTGTGGGAGAATTATAAAAGCAGTATTTACAGTAAACGCTTTCAATACACTTTTAGCTGCTACCTTGAGTCGGAACCACCAAATTTCAGCTATTCCCAAGGTAGTAATTTTGATTATACCCAAGGTTACACCTCCACAGTGTGTTCCCTGACTCCATTAGCAGCTCACCTTGGCTGAGCTGTCACATGAGCCAAGTGCCTCTTTGTCTCTCTCTAGTACAGAAGCCTTTCCAACCCGCATGGATGAGATGAATCCCATCCTACACAACACAGAGAAATGCACGGTGTGTAGCCGTGGGGATGGAACCCTGAAAAAGCAAAGAGAGGTCCCAGCTGCCTCCCCTCCCATCCTCACCTTCACATTTGAGCCCTTGCTTGACCAGCCCCCAGAGCAGGCTGCCACAGTGGTCGCAGAAGGTCGGGCTCATGTAGTTGTAAACTCTGAAGCGATGAGGCATGTCAATGTTGAACCTTTCCTTCTGGAACTGAGCACGGGGAGAGACAGGGGTGAGGCACTGCCCAGAGCAGGACCAGCTTCTGACACAAAACTGCTTGGATATTACAAGCTTACAACTATTTTACATTAGCCTTACATCCCTCATCTAGCAGGGAAAGGATCTGCCCATCAAATAGCACCCAGCTGCTCAGGGGGTTTTGGACTACTGTTCATGCTTGAAAACTTTGTCCACTCCAGGAGAAGACAGTCACTTGGGTTGTACAGCCAAGCATCTCCCAAATGGAGTTGGCAGTTTCCATACAAGCTTTTTGTTAGTTCAGGACTGTTTAATTACACAATTACAATATAAATATATTGTTCCAGCTCTTACCATTGTGTCCCTGCTGTTGGCTGCAGTACCAGTGCACCTCCCAATGATTTTATCAATACATTTCTTGTGAATAGCAGCATTGCATTCTTCAAGACATGCACAAGAAAAAAAAGGATTCCTTCAGATAATAAATACATGGGATGAGGTGTTTGCATTTCATAGCAGAATATGAAAAATACACACCTTTCCATCATACCACAAACCCCAAAAACTTCTTTTCCATCAAGATGATGATCTTTTTTGAGCTTATTCCCCCACACCTCCCCTTTTCTTTTATCATAAACTTTATTTCTAAGCTAAATCAGCCTCCATTACACAATGCTACCAGCATTTGATAACAGAAGAATAATATTATGCTTTTGTGTTTCACCCTTTGATATCTCCTCTCCGTCTGGAGTAATGCACAGAGATCTATGCTCAGTCAAAAGAGCTTTTCAATTCAGCTGTAAAAAACCCTTAATAGTTGTAATTCATTTTAGAAAAGGTTTCACAAAAGCTGCTGTCATAAATGAGTGCAACTTTTCAACAGCATTAAACTCTTCTGAGAACAGCTGAGTCTAAATCTTGATACTAAAAGCCAAGGCAGGAATCTCAATTATATTCCTTCAGTTATTGTGCAAAACTGATATTTAACATCTACTACTACCACCTATGGTAATGATGCACTGTGCTGTGTATATTTACAGAAGATTTTTTTCAATGGTAACTTTTAGATCTTCAGAATCACCTGGAAAGCAGTAGAAGAAAAACGTAAAAAAAAAAAAAAAATCAACTTACGCCTACATTTGTATCCCTGCTTGTTGAGTCCCCTGAAAAACAAATGTTAAAGAAGGAAATAAAACCCCATACATTTACAGGAATAAAAGATAGGGTTTTTTTAAAAAAAATATTATTGTTTTTACCGTGTCAATCAATTAATCCTTTGTCTATGGGAATATTTTTTCCTATTAATAAAGTGGTCTAAATTCTGCTAATCAGAATCCTCTGTCTTAGGAAAGCAAGGTTTAGAAGGTAAGGTACTTTGTTTTGACAGACCAGTAAATTAGGAGGGGGACCCAGAAATGACAAGATTTCAATCACATGGGAAATCCTCTTGATCTGCCTTAGGACAAAAACAGCTTTAATGTTAAAGGGATCCAACTTCTGGCCCCCTACAGGCCTTTACTCTGCCATCACCCACTTCACATCTCAAAGTTTGAGCATTATTTTCTCAGATCCACCCACCCCCTTCCCTTGTGACAGAGCTGCTGTTGATTATAGGCCAGATCTCACTTGATGCTGATGGAATTTTTTCAATCATTTCAGTGGCAAAAATACTCAAGTTCTGTTTTTTAATGTGAAAGGGACAACTGTAGTTTCCAAACACATATGAATTTATGTGTCATGTTTTGTCTCGATGTACCTGAAGTGAATTTTGCAGTTATTTGGGGGTGGAGGAAACTTAATTTTTCCTTCTTACCATACAAAGTCTTTGCAGACAGAGCAAAATGTGGGTTGTCCAAAGAAGGTGGCAATAAACTCATGATTTTTGATGTAGTGGATTTTGGCTTGTTTGATGGCTCCTCTCCTGTTAATAGTTACTGTCCCCTCGTCTTCCTTCATTGACTGTTTGCAGTCTAAGGGGGAGACAAGAAGACACACTTTTAATACTTAAAGGCATTACAAAGATTAATATTTGCTTCTCCCAAACGTTCAGTTTGGTTTTCTGTTTCAGAATAGTGTTTCTGTTTATTTTACACCTGCATTCTGCAGACTTTCAGCCCAACAAGGGTGGAACACATGCACACAATGCTTCCTAAGGTGTCTCCATGTCCCTGCCTGCAAGCACTTCCCAGCTCCTGCCTATGCACAAAAAGCCTTCAGAGATGAGCTGAGGGGAAAAAGCAGGAATGGAGCACAGTTTTGCTAGAGAAATGACAACCACAGTTGTTTTTTGAAAAAAATCTAAGCTCCTATATGTAATGTGATTTATGTTTAAGATAAATAAACATTTTATTGGAAGCAGGAGGGGCAGCAGAAGCCTTTCCATTCTGCTGCTCCACGTGCCCTCCTGAACCAGGACTACAGCAGAACTTCAGGTGAAGTGCTGCAGGACCTTCTGAGTCACCATCAGACCATACTACTGGAAGAAGGCTTTCTTCCAGCCTCCAGGAGCAGTAAACCATGAGGACAAATGAGATTCTCAGTCAGACATTTAGATTTTGCTGACTCATAACATTGATGATCTGTCAATGTGTCTCAGTCCCATTCCTCTCCCCTCTCATCTCCCAGCAGCAAAGCTTAGGGCAAAGAGATCTTGCCATTTGCAGGCTGGGAATTGCCACAGCAACAGAGTAAGGAAAAAGCCAGAAGAGCATTTTTCCCATTGTCAGTACAAAAGTTTTCTTACTTTGCTCCATCGCATTGCTGCCTGTTATCAAAATCAGTGGGAGCCTTGCTTTTTGTACTGATAGAAGCAGATTTGTTTTCCTTTGCCAAGTCACACTCACTGCAATGCCTGAGCTTACTAGGAAGTTACCCAGGAGCTCTGGCTTTCTTGCTGCTGGCTGCACTTGGTTCTTGCCATTTTATTAGCTGGCTGCCACCACTGCTATTTCATCAGACCCCTGAACCTGGAATACAATCCATCATTTGACACCATTCCGAGCGTCCTAAACTAATTTATCTGTCAGCCAGCTGCAGCCAGACAGCAGCAGCATGTACTGCCTTAGAAAAGAAAGGACAACATCAACTCAGGGATTAAGGGAAGATTAGGCATATTAGTGAGAACAAAGTTCAGAAGAGATCCCCGAGCTTTGCTACCAGGTATTAATGCACTTTTCTGAGAAACTGGCAACCTGGTTCAGAGAAAAACCCATCCTGACACCCTCTGAAAGGAGCTCACAGTGTGCACTGTGACACCCTGGCACTGTGCATGCCCCTGAGTTACCTCTGCCCCCGCAGGAACAGGATTCAGTTTTGCTGTTCAAACAGGCTACTGAGTTCACCCAACAAAAACTCTTGTCAGCTGCTGCACTTCGGCTTGTGGAAGTCTGCAAACAGTCCTATCTCTTTGTTTAATCCTGCTGAGCAAATACACAGACCTCACCCACTGCTCCTCAAATGCTTCAGGGAAGCCACACTCCGAAGTGTGTGATTAAGGAAAACAAGGTGGTTGAGAGTCAGCAATGCTTAAGTACTGTTTGCTGCATGAAAAAGATGGCTTTGTAAGGAAGATTTAATCAGTAACAGCAACAGAACAGAGAAAGACGTTTTGCTTTATGGCACCTATTCCATAACACAAGTAAACCAAGTGTTTAGTGAGGAACTTACACGTGAACTGGATGTTCATGCTAAACTGGCTTCTCATGCTAAA